CATCACCATTATAGTTCTCCACTTTCGCCTATCACTGAATGTCTCAATTTGGGGAGATTCTTATGGGTACTCTGCATCGTTATAAAAAGCAGAAATTGATGTCCAAGAGCTTATTACCTGAATATACCAAGGACTGAAAACTATTAATTTACTTCACACAGTAGTGGAGTTGCTCTCATTTGATGATACACAGCTGCATATATTTAGGTCTAAATTTTCAAAACAAAATAGGTACGTAATTTGAGCTGTTTCAACGGGGTATCTTTAGAGATTGATCACTTTCAGGGCAAATACTGTGCATTTTCTGAAAATCTATTAGAAGGGTATAACGTAGGCCCTTAGGACCTCAGAGGTGCCCCAGCACACAAGTCCCTTTGAAAGCGTGGAGCCAGATTCTCAAGCTGCACTAGTTATCATTGTTCTGTTGTAGCCATTGAGCTTGTGCTGATTTCTACCAGGTACAGATCCCACTTCTAACTTTTAAGGATAGTACAAAAAAGAACCTCCTCTAAAGTACATTTATTTTAGAGATTTTTCATCTTTCTTTCTGTGGAATTTCCACTGAATTGAAAAACTAATGATAAGAAAACAGCAGTGAACTTCCTAACAGCATTCATCTAGTAGCAGAGAGATCCTTTCTGTTTCACAGGCTACATTCCGAGATGTGTCTACAGAAACATTTGAAAAAGATATTTAGTTCATCTCATACAATTTTTGTCCAACTTCCATATCAAAGCTGATAAATTTTTAACTGTAAAGACTTTACCCACCACCACCACCAAAAGAACCCCCATCAACCAAACCCTAGCAACCCTGAAATGTCAGCCAGAATTCCAATATCCAGATCTTTCTTCCTTTACTTTTATGACTTTCTTCCTTTACTTCTATGCAGTCAAGAACAACGTAGACAATACAACTGGAATTTATTTGGAATTCTTTTGTTTTGTGAGCTGGAAAAGGATTTATTTTACTCTTCAGTCCTTGTATTGATAAATATTAAAAGCTCAGTCCCAGAGGTATGATCTAAAAATTAATGTTTTTTTACACCATCCTGGGTTCGGGTATCTCTGCTGCCCAGTACATAGGCAGAACAGTCAGTCCATAGATGAATGAGGAATAATCCATGTGAATGCACATACAAAAAAAATGCTTCACTACGAAAATAGAGACAGCACAGGCAAGGTACGAGATTAGAAACCGGGAACCTAAACCAAGATCACAAGCCTTAATCACCTGAACACAAGGAATTACTCTGTTAGCTGAAAGCTGCGGGCTCTCAGGCTCATCATCAGCCACGGACTAGATTGGGGCATGATCGCAGCACTCTGCCAGAGTATTACATGTTCCCGAAGGCAAAGTTTATCCCAGCTGGCTGACAGGAGTTCAAGTCTCATGAGGAATGCCAATGTTTAATAAGTCTGTTGACACATACTTATAAAGCTGCCAGAAGTCGCCAGTGGGGATAGAGTCCCAGCTTTAAATACTGAAAGCACAAGCTCGTGCTGCTTGAGCTAATGGGGTTTCTTAACGCCACAGAAGATGCTTGTATATAAATGCCCTCTGGCTACCAGTTCATTATAAGGCCATAATTAAGTAGGATAAAGATTCAAAAATAAATTTCATTTTTGCAAGCATTAATATATATTTGTTTGGCAGGAAAAGAAGGGATTGTGATGATTTGGCCCTCAGTGTTGTAAAATGCTACCATATTAATTGCATTCAGCAAGTAATTCAAGAATATGGAGCTCAGATTCTGCTGTATTAGATGCTTTAATGCTGCAGTGTAGCTGGAACTTTCAAGAACACATATGCAATTATGTAGTGCCATTTATGTTCATGGTTCTTTCCAAATGAAAATGAAATCACGGCTCCGGGTCCAAAGAACTTCCCACTCAAATCCAACAGAGAATATGAAAAGGAATGACACCAGGAACCAAGAAAAACGAAAATACTATATTCAGAAAATGATTATTTACAAAATAACCAGAGCAACTGAACTGTTTCTTTACTTTTTTCTCTTTTAAATGAAGAAGGCCTGGAGGAGGTATCAGCTCCAAAGCTGCAATTTTGTTAGAGCGGGGAAAACTTGAAGGAAAGGTTTGAATACAGAAAGTTCTCAGCACTTAGGAAGAAACTTTTCTAAGTCACAGTCCCCACTATAGTAGGACATGAGCAAAAAGAAAGCATTAGCTAATCAGAAGATCAAACACAAAGATGATGTGTAAGGATAAAATAAAAAGTATTTTGAGATCAGAGCACATCATTAATATCAAATATCAGGATTTGAAATAGATGCTAGTTGTCAAAGAAATTATTCCAGAAGATGTCTAAAGATGTGCCGTCAAAGCAATGAGGGAACAAAGTGTTACCAACTGCACTTTGGATATGCTGAAGCAATTAGCAGGGATATCAAAAGAAAGATCAGAGAATGAATATTTAGGGAAAAATGAAAGCACAAACTCAAGTTTAGCAGTGTGGAAAGAGCATGCCAAAAGAAATGACTGCAGGATTTGTAAGAGGAGAGAGAAACAGTGCAAAGAAATAGAGCTGACACAAAGGTTTATATGTCACAAGTACGGTTACGAGCTGGATGGATCTAGAAAGTAGTTTTTACTTACCATTTGTTATGAACTAACACAAATCACTTGTAGTCATTGTGATCCTCCATTTCTGTTATGCAAGGTACCTAATTCATGTCAGAATGCTTTACTCCAATGAATCAGATTTGAGAGTTATGAACGTAAGTCTTACTTAGGACTTCATCTTAAATAAATTCGTGGCTTTATTGGATGAGAATTTAAAAAATGTTTGTATTTGCCAATTTTTTTTCCAGCTGAAGTCAAGACTAAAGCTCCCTATTCTTCCCTGGAAGGAGCAAAGGCAAACCAATACTGAACACTTCAGACACTCCCACCACAGTGTTTTTGCATACAAATGCTGTTATGTAAATACAGCTATGAAAATGTAGGATGCTGTATGTATTGTACCAGTACTTCATTAGTAATAATGTCCCAAAATGAGTTGTGCAAGCCACTGTTTATTGATGTGCCTAAAACCTTTAGACGATGCTACAGTTATTATTTATGTTATATAATGCAAAGAGGAAAACTTTTAAATAACTTTTCAGAATTCGTAAACACGTTATTGGAAGTAAAACCAGTCCAATTTGGCTGTTGTGGCCCCAGCTCAGCAGGATCCTGAGGAAGGATGCAGTCTTTGTATGGCTGTACAGATGTAAATGTCTACTAAACTCCTCCACATGCAGTAAAAAAAAAAAAAGGAGAGAGGGAAACAAAAATGAATGATACATATTTTGCCTCAGTTCTCTTTGTAACATATTTTGAAATAGACTATTTTACACTGGAACTAGACTTATGTAATTTAGGTGATCCTTATTTCATAGGCGTGAGGGTCAGATAGCTGGATGTCCTTTCTTAATTTGGCAGCTGAGGTTTAAAATAAGGAAATGGAATCTGTTATCATAGGTCAGACTATTATGTCCATATGTCCAGAATTATGTTGTTCTAAAATGACCAACATAAGGCATTTCAGCAAAAAGTCCTATTCTGCTTCCTTAGAGATGTCTAGGAAATGATGAAATTTCATACCCAGATAAAGGTGGGAAGTAAAATGTCTCTCCTGCCCTGTATCTCCTGGCCAGTCTCAAAACATCAACTACAGAGTGAGAATAACAAGCCAGACTCAGTTGATGTAAATTAACCCAGCTTCATTGCCTTCCCATGGACTATGCCAGTTCACATCTGTTGAAGCATGATTTCCTTAATGTTGATTCATGTTTTCTCTTTTTATTTTAGCTTCATACAATATCAGCGCGTTTGGCTTTGTTTTCTTTGATGAGCAAATGTGGGTAGCATATAATAAGAAGTTACTGAGGTACTTACTATTAATAGAGCCATAAGGTCCCTTTGAACATCTGAAAAAAGATGGCTTGTAGGTGTGGACTTGGGTAACACATTTTGAAAAGAGCAAGAACCATTTGTTTCTAGAGGTAGCTGACAAACTAAAGCTTCCATTTTTGTTTCCCTTTTACTCAGTGAATTTTTCTTCCTTTTAATCTTTTAATTCCCCCCCTCTGACACTGCAGTCTTTTCTTTTTTCCACTTAGAAATATGAAGAAATGGGCAGGTCAAAGTTGAGATCATTTGTGGGGCTTAGTCACATTGTGTCCCAGCATAGCCCTTTCATCTCTCATGAACACAGACCGGGTATTGTGCGAAGTTCTTGAACTGTAAGTGACTTTAAATTCACTCTAGTGGACAAGGGTGAGAAGAAGTCATTTAACTTTTAATAGACTTTCAAGGACGAATGAGCAGCTGGTTGAGATGGAATATGAAATGACCCTTACCATTTCCCCAAACTCAGAAGTCAATCTTTGAGGTTTTAAATGATGTGGTTAGCTTTTTTCCTCCCCAAGTTTCCATTTCTTTCTGTTTTCTCAGTTTAGAGGGAAAGGGGAGTGTATGAAAAAAAGACTTGAGAGGCTTTTCTGGCCCTTGCTCCACTGAAACTTGTGAAAGAAAGTTGACCCTCCAGATATTTCCTGCCAGATTTCCAGAATGGAAACAATTGTTTCTGCTTTATATGACTGATATCACATGGAGTACAAAAAGGCTTGTGCAAATAAGTGTAGCTCCACTGAAATTGGTGAGACCATGCCAGTGTACTGCAGGTGAGGATCTGGGCCTGGTTGTTTGGTCCTGTTTGTACTTGGAAAGAGACTTTACAGGGGATCTTATGCACTACAATTGTCCCTATTTTTACATTCCTGGCTTGAAGAACTGGGTTTGAAGGGGTTTTGGCTTCAACTATTATCCAAGCCAAGTTTTTCGGTGGTCCAGCAGTTCTGATGATCTGCATTTGTCTAAGCTTTTGAAATGAAGAATGAACACTTATATCATTATGGTTTCTATCTCCCCAGATTGCAAAACAAGAAGTAATTAATTTTCAGAATATATATGCATCTCTCTCATTTCTCTTAGTGTCAGACTTGAAAAGACAGATACTATCCGCTGCATTAAATCTTGTCGACCAAATGATGTCAACTGTGTGTTGGATCCAGTCCACACAATTTCCCACACTGTCATTTCACTGCCCACGTTCAGAGAATTTACACGACCTGAAGGTAAGTGGTTTGTTCCTTGTTCCATTTAATAGACTACAACATATAAAACTTCTACCGGAAATCCTTGCCTAAAGCCAGACTAGCTACCGGTGCAGTAAAATGTTTGCACAGTTCCAAATTATAGTGTACTATTCATTTAATTAAAACCTTCGATATCCAGGAGTTTTAATTTTATGGGGCAAAGAAAGTCATTCTGAGCTCTAACTCATACAGCTTCCCAGTCTAAGGAAATACTGAGTCTGAATTCCCATTTACCACATTTACTCACATAATAGCCATGTGCCTCATGACTTATTTTCTTCCATTTTTTGCAGACTTTGCCATAGGAAATAGGTGCTCATTATATTTTATCTGTTTATGGTCTGTTGTTCACTATTGACAGGTGGCTTGTTCCAAGAATGTAGCCTTTATCTACATGCAAACAATCACAAAATACATTATACTGAATATACTATCTGGTACTGTGATTTGCAGATTTTTGACCTATGGAAAAAAAAATGTTGTTTTTTAAAATACAGAATAAAGAAAGGGAAATTCTAAGGATTGGACAGAAAGATCTTAAGCTAAGATTCTCAAAAAGCATCCAAGTGTGTGGTTGTCCAGTCATCCAGAGTAGGTTTTCCAGCCCCAGATGCTGCACTCTCATGGGCACTCATGTATTTCTCTAGTTCCTTCAGCCTGTGCAGTACCTGCAAGTTCCATAAGGGTTGCACTCATTTTGTTTAGTTCACTTAGAAATTTACAGATCAAGAGCCAATTTTTGCTCCTTGGCATTTGTATTCATTTTCTGGCAGCTTCATGGGGAATTGCATACACATCCATAGGTGAGATGACTGCCTTCAGCCCTGCTTCTCTGTAGGACGAGCCACTCGGACACTTACTGTGTGGCGCAGACACAGAGAGAGAAGAAGAGTTTGAAGTAAGGGAAGACTACTCTGAAAGGGTTTTAAAAGACCTTAAATCCCTATTTCTGATGCACTGAGTCTCAGCCTTGCTATCTCAGAAAGTTGTCCTAAATGAAAGCGAAAGCTGGTTCTTCATTTCTGTACCAGGCAGAAGGAGTAGGGCAAGAGACGTCCCAATCTTTGTTCAAATAGGAGCAATTTAACCACCAATAACTCAGCTGCGTAGAGCTGCTATAGATTGCATCAGGCCAGTTTCAGGCCTTGGCTGGCCCTACTTCACAGGGAACAGAGGAATGGCCCATAGCCACTTCTACTCCCATACACACCTCTTCAGCTTCACCAGGTGTACTGGCAGCAGAGCTAAGGATTTGGCCCAGGATGCTTCCCAAACCATTCCCTCATTAGTCCATCCTCATGACTTAATAAAAAGAGATGAGACCCAGCGATCTGAGAGTACTACCAAAGCCCAGAAGACGTTCCTAAACTGTAATTCAGTGCATGGCCTTGGGTGAATTACAGCATCATGGTTTAGTTTCATCATCTGTAGAACAAGAATAATAATGAGAATAATAATACTTACCTCCCTAACAAGGGCCTTGTAAAACAGTCTCACCTTCCTTTTTTAAACATAAACCCCTCCTCCAATACTCAAAATGGCTGTAATTTGTAATAGCAATACTTTGTGTAACTGCCTAAGGGAATCAGAGTTCAGGGCTTTATCTGTCTGGTCCCGTGTCACTGCCTACCCTGTGGTTCGTCAGGGATCCCTCTATGGGTACATGCTGGAAGTCTGCCTGGTTTCTAAGAGTAGTCTTTCTGGACTCTAAAAGTAATAGTGTTTTGGCTTCAGGGCTTCTTGGATGGTGCAGGAGGAGAAAATAAATCTATCCAAATCATCCCTTCCCCCAGATCTTATTTCTTTCCATTTTAAAGGACAAACTGGGAATGGTGGGGGATAGGAATGTTCTCCACCAGCTTTGAGAATGAGTCATGGATCAAATTCTGTCAGGTTCTTCAGTGATGTTTTCAAATACTTCTCAGTACATTTCGTGATACGCTTTATTTGCAGAGATTATTTTTCTTCGTGCCATCACACCTACATATCCGGCCAACCAGGCAGATATCATATTTGACATAACAGAAGGAAATTTAAGAGATTCCTTTGATATCATCAAGCGTTACATGGATGGTATGACAGTGGGTGAGTAGAGTGTTTTCTGTTTACTTTCTTCTCTCAATAACGTTGTAGAACAAGGTTGAAGAAATGAACTCAAGTAATTAATACCCACCTTGATTTTCAAACCCACGTTGATTTAATATACTCCAGTCCAATATATGTAATTTGAACTAGTATCACAGGTAATTTTTTATTCAAAATACCAGAGGCCTAAACTTTAATTTGAGAAGTATTTTAACATTTTTCAGAACTAGTTCTAATTACAAATGCAAATGGCTTAGTTTTAAAATTATGAGGTTTGCCCATTATAATCAAACCAAATATAAAATATGTAGTATGTCAACAGAGAGACTGTAAATTTAATTAAGTGTTCTTTCTTGTTTAAACAGCATTGCACCAATTTTTAGATAATAATCTAATTTTTAAAGCAGGACTGAATTCATTGAAACTGTTACCTGTTTTAATATTTAATGACAGGCTGGTTTGGTTTTAAGTAAATACCTCTTTTGAGGGTAAAAGGGATCTGTCAAATGCTGTGGTTTAGAAGAAACTTCAGAATGCAACATACACGTTTGATTTACAGTCTCATCCTGGCAGGGAGGAGACATGGCAGGAGGTATACCAGTGTGTTTGGGTCATACGCTACACCTGCATCTCCTCATACAGCAGGGAGGGGCTGCAACACAGCATGGGGTCGTACTCTGATAGGCTTCTCTCAGAGCAGGGCTCTTTGGGGGGATATAATGCATACAATATCCAGTACGTAATGCGTATAATGTACCCAGGATATATGCATACATGTATACAGACATGTATTTCCAGTGTATGCTGTAGCTTGGCTCTCGCTCTGGGACCCAAGGCCACCAGGACTAGTTGGCAAATTACGTGAAGGTTGCAGAGCAGTAGTAGGTCCCAGCTGATGTGCTGCTCTGCCCAGTGTGAGTTGCTAGTGCAGTGACAGGGGAATATACAGTGATTCTCATGCTTAGAGAATTAATATGCCAGGTATTAAAAAGTGGTATTTGATTGCTCTTCATTAATGTTTATTTATGAAAGCAAAGGACCACTGTTCTCAGTGAACATTTGTGTTTCAGTATGTGAATGTGCAGGCTCTGCTCAGGTTTATACATGTGCTTCTGAGCTTTCTAGCAAGACTTGTCCGGATGAAAAGAAAAATCGCTGCTGTGCTTCGATGGTTTGTGAAAAAGTCGTATTTAGCATGATCCGTAGGTGGCACTGTTGCATTTCAGAAGCATGATAATACAGTGTCAGCTGTGCAAAGGCTTTATGAACTGTAGATAAAAATCATAAGTCATTAGGTTTATATTTCTTTCTTTATCAAACAGAAGTATACATTTGAATACTGAGAAAGAGGGAGAGTCTGTTAAAGCAGGATGATAAGATTACAGATTTCAGGTATTGGGTTGATTCTTTAGAAGAGTATAAATGTTATCAGATCCCACAGTAGTTACAGTAGTTTGCTTTTCGTGCTGCGTGCTTCTTTCTGTCTGAAATAAGAAAGAAGGATGTGTTTAGAAATTTGACTGGCCACGGTATTTGCCTGAGGGAAGCGTTTCCATTTTGAATAATAGGACTGCGTGTCAATGGTATTTTACTTGGTAAATTGGATGTCTGCCTCACAACGTTAGGAGAGAAATGATGTTCTTATATACCAGGTTGAGAAGACCTTATATATGTCTAAGTACATTCCCAGGTCTGCAAAAGAATTGGGCAGCTCTCTCTTCACCTCAGTTCCCCCATGTGCAACATGGAGATGATAAAACATGCCTACTACTGTCTTAATTAATTCTTGTATGTAAGAGTCTTAATTAATTCCTCTATGTAAAAGTACTTTGAGATTAATGGATGGAAGCTGCAAAGTAAACTGCCTGCAGCAGAATTGGAAAAGGAAAAACAAAACAAACCCCCAGCTGATATTACCTGGAGGGACAGAGGTTCAGGACAGCATGTTGTATGTGTGAAATTAGGATTGCAAATAATTCTGCCAGCAGCGGTTCTGCTGCTCTCATCATAATATAATTTTTCTTGTTAATAATAATCAGTATGTTAGGTGTTCCCATAAAAATGTGGGGAAGTTTTCAAGACAAATAAGATGGGGCCCTAGTCCACAGGAGTTCACAAAATGAGGGTCTCCTGTAAAGAAAGGGGAAAGGTTTATAAAAGGGTGGAGAAAGACGAAGGGCATAGATGATATCAGAAAGACTTATTGGTTATCAGAAAGCTTTTTTGGTTTATCCCACTAAGTTACACTGTGGGGATGTAACGTAGGGACTCTAGCAGAGCAAATGCCCAGCTGGCTCAGTAACCAGTGTCCATCATATGGGCCAGTAACAGACAGCTACACAGGAATGTATCTCCAAAGATAATGTTCCAGCTTGCTGCAACCATCAGTTTATACGTTTTTGGGAAAACACACCTGGACCACCATGCTTGATGACCACTGATGGTCATATGCTTCTTGAATACATATAGCCTATTTTTATTTTTTTTTTTCTGCCTATATTGTAGAGGAAATAATACATTTACTCTGATAATAAATCATAGATGCATGGATTAAAGGAATAATAAGCGTGTTTCATTCTGTTGTAATATTTCAGGAGAAATGACCAGAGTATTAAAGCTATTTTATCTGCTAATGTAAATTAGATCATCAAATATCTTTTCTCTACAAGAAAATTTTATTTACAAGAAAACCTCTACAGGAGGGTGGGGTTTGTTTGTTTGTTTGTTTGTTTGTTTGTTTGTTTGTTAAGAAAATACATGAACTAGCTCAGAGAGAGATTAAATGTGTAAGAGAATATGGAAAAAAGCAGGAAAATAGTCACTAGTGTTACTGAAAGAGCTGAATGTAATAAACCTTGTCTTGATGTCAGAGCAGAGGAAATCAATGAAGGGATTCAAAGAAAGGAGGCGGCACTGGGAAAAGAGGGGTAGAAAGGACAGATCGGTAGAGATGCTCTTGCAGGAAGTCCTTCATTAGCAAAACACCTTTTTGCTAGGTTGTCACAAACAAGAAGAGAGATGATGCCTTAAGAAGAACCTGCTTCTAAACTGTGTTTGTGTGAATGGAAAGGAACAAGATGCTCTTGAAAGTATAACACTAAGAAAAAGTGAAAAGGTACAGGTTCCTTTTGGTAAAGGTTTAGAGAGTGGGAGGAGCTGTTAGAGGTGAAGTTACAGAAGAAAAGTAAGGACTTCAACACTGACAGAGAATTGTGGACTGAAGAGAGTCAGGTCATCAGTTTTAGCCATTATCCCTGGAAGCTGGCACTGAGACATCAAGGAGAAGATGCCAGTGAAGCTGAGAAATATGTAGGATTGGATAGAGAGTGGCTGATCTGGCTGCTTTGTGTTTTGTTGATGGAGAGATAGTAGCTGAGGTCATAGGAGGAGATGAGAATGTATAGGAGCAGGTTGTGATGAGGGAAAAAGAAGAAACTCGAAAAAGAGGAGAGAGCTTCCCCAAGGAATGTTAGAATAAGAAAGAACATGGTCTCCTACAGGAGATGTAGGAGGAACAGACACAAAGGTAGGAGAAGAAAGGGTCAAGGACAGTACTGCAAAAACAAGGAAAGAAAGTATATCAAATGGGAATCGATGATTGGCAGTATCAGATACAGAGGAACGAAAATAAGTAAGAACAGACTCCAAAACTAGCTATGCTGACCTACAGAGAATAGCTTCCAGTGGAAGAGAAGGAACGAAAGCTAGCCTGCTGGAGTGGCAGTGCGTAGACTTCATGCAAGCCAAAGAAAAAGAGTTGTGTAAAAAGTTGCCTCCAATATTTCTACTTTATTGTATTAAAAAGAGATGCAAAACAGCATTCTTTCCTGGTTCAAGAAGTGTTGTAGACTCTCTGTTGCCTGGCGTGGTAACAGGCCAAGGTGGCACTGAATCCGAGAGATACTGTTAACAACTGCACATCACTTACTAGCATGGGCGGGAGAAAAACAGAAGTGCAGACCTATCCAGGTTTTTTTTTAAAAGCTTTTATGGACTTTTCACTGCATTCCTCCTTTAACCAGCTGTCAGTGAAAAATGAAGAATGCATTTTCAGCCTGTACAAAAATGTCCTATCAATGCCTAAGGTATTATCAGATACTATAAAACATTTCCCCCTCAGCTATGCATTCATTTCCTTAGGTGACTGTAATACCACCTTGTAGTCTGGTAAACTTCAGGAAGATTTTAAAATTTTGTAATACAGCTAAAACAGTTTTGATAGGTTGCAATCTTCCATATTGCATTTGATACTAACCTAAGCATATATTTTTGCCTATTAAGCAGAACGGTACTACTCTTGTCAAAAACATCAACAGCCAATACAACTATAACATTTCACTTGTACCTATAGAGCTACTCAGGGATGTTACGCTGATGCTTGAATACACTGATATCAACAGTTACTTATAATTTTACATATATGTACTGCTGCTTTCCATTGTTGTTTGCAAGGATTTCACTGCTATTTCTGTCCTGACCTTCCAGACTTTTTACACGTGTGATTGTTCATGATGTTACCTTTGAACCATTACAGAAAATGTCTCAACTACTGATAGCATAACACTGGATTTTTTAGTAGTCTAATTTCAAGTATGGTATCATGATTGTTTAGTTTGTTCCAGAGACTGGAGAGAGACTTTAAAAAAATGACCAGATGATAAACACAAACAGATACCATAAGAAAGTGTGCTTGTGGGATCCCATATTGGTTGGGGGCAGGAGAAGGAGACTGGAGGTTTATTTGACTTTTTGGGAAATCTGTCCTTAGCGCAGGGATAGTAGTTCTGTATCTCAGAAGTAGTTTGGCCATTCCCAGTGTGGCAGTCTTTTTACAGTTTGTCACGCAAATGCTTGTATGATCTGATGTTAAATTCAGAGTCACTGTATTGCAAAAGATTTGGTTCTGAACTTTGTCCCTGGACCCACTCTGCACTGCTGGGCAAGTACCTTCACATTCCTCTCTGCTTCTCCCTTATCCTCCATTGCTCTAGACTCTTTAT